GCTGGTAATGGTGTCAGCAGCAGGGTCAGAGGAGGGAAACTCTGCCGTCCAGGCTCTCCCTTCACTGCCCTGACCTCTCTGCTTGTCATGTCCCTACGGAAGACACGGTGTAGAAGTGACAAGTGTCTGCCGTGGAAGTGAGAAGACTGTGTAGAGAAAGATGCTGTATTCATAAGATGTGTGAGGCAGAGCAGAACTTTTCGGAAGTACGTTTGGTGGATAACTGATCCTTGTAGCTTCTTTTGGGTTTGATGGGTTGAGAGTGTGTTGTTCAACCTGGAGACTGAAAGGAAATATGAAAGATCAGGAACGATGCAAATGGACATTTCTTCATATGCCAACACAGCACAGGCACAAGAGTCAAGTAGAGCCATCGCCACGACTCACTAGGCTAATCCTCCGCCTTGCGGCGCCGGCACACCAGGTTCTAGTCCTGGTCGGGGCGCCGGATTCTGTCCCGGTTGCCCCTCTTCCAGGCCAGCTCTCTGCTGTGGCCAGGGAGTGCAGTGGAGGATGGCCCAAGTGCTTGGGCCCTGCACCCCATGGGAGACCAGGAGAAGTACCTGGCTCCTGCCATTGGATCAGCGCGGTGCACCAGCTGCAGTGCGCCAGCCACGGCTGCCATTGGAGGGTGAACCAACGGCAAAGGAAGACCTTTCTCTCTGTCTCTCTCTCTCACTGTCCACTCTGCCTGTCCGAAAGAAAAAGAAAAAGAGTCAAGTAGAAACCCCATGTAATTCCAAGTACCTTTCATTTTGCCTCTTTGTTACCTGGTAATTGCACTGAGAATGTGTGGGCAAGGTGTACTTGTAGATGAGGAACTACGTTGGTTGAAATTTTTAGTCCTTTGGCAAAGTGCCCATCTATCCCTTGACCAATTTGTCTTGAATGGAAGACAAATTGAGTTTGTGGCTGGCTTGGATCCCAGATGCAAAGGGACTCTACTTCATCCCTTTAGTCATACCCAAACAATCCCATTGTATTTTGAAAACGCCCAGAGGCCTGAGTGCACATAGACTAGATATGTCCGACAATCCAATTCCACTCCACCATGTTTCCATGCCCCATATAATGTTGTATGTACTTTCTAAATGTTTAACTGTTATGAACATAACTACAGATTTGTTTTCGTCAGTCTTCCCCCTCCCCCCCCCCCACTGGATTATAAGCCTCTTTAAGGCAGAAAACTTGGCACATGGTTTTTTTTTTTTTTTTTTTTTTTTTTTTTAATTTTTTGACAGAGTGGATAGTGTGAGAGAGAGACAGAGAGAACGGTCTTCCTTTTGCCGTTGGTTCACCCTCCAATGGCCGCCGCGGCCAGCGCGCTGCAGCTGGCACACCGCGCTGATCCGATGACAGGAGCCAGGTACTTCTCCTGGTCTCCCATGGGGTGCAGGGCCCAAGCACTTGGGCCATCCTCCACTGCACTCCCTGGCCACAGCAGAGAGCTGGCCTGGAAGAGGGGCAACCGGGACAGAATCCGGCGCCCTGACCGGGACTAGAACCCGGTGTGCCGGCGCCGCAAGGCGGAGGATTAGCCTAGTGAGCCGCAGCTCCGGCCGGCACATGGGTTTTTAGTAAAACTACGGGATAGGTTAAGGAGCCAACTGCAGCAGTACAGGAATTAAAAGACCTGGATGCTATTTCTGTTTCAATCTGCCATATGAGCATGGGGAAGTCACATACCCTCCCCAGCCCTCAAAGTAAATGTCAGTAAAATGCAGACATCTGCCCTGCTACCTCCCAGGGCTTTTGTGAGGCATAAATGCGGTAATATGTAGAAGACTGCCACCTTATTACAATTTTTATGAGTTCCTTTGCCATTTAGTTGCGTATTGTGACCACAGGAGTTTAGGTAGAATTGATGCTACTTAGTTAGTTCTGATTCTACATTGGACTTTTAGTCCCCTTCAGGTCTATTTTTTCCAGTTTTTCATAAAAATGATAATATTGATTGGGGTAGAGAACAAAAAATACACCATATGGTAAAATCATACTAATTTATATAGGTTCATCATCCAATATTGAAAGAAATAGGATTATAGAAAATATTGACCAGCCAGAGATGACAAATTGGTGGCTGATGCCTGGAATACTGTGATAAGAAAGATTCTGATACCTGGCCTGCTTGATTGTTGATTTGTGCAATTATCATAAAATTAAAGAGCAGAGGGTGGGCATTGTGGCACAGCTGCCTATGACCCCGGAATCCTGTGTCATCCCATATCAGTGTGCTGGTTTGGGTCCCGGCTGCTCTGTTTCTGACCCAGCTCCCTGCTAATGCTCCTGAGAAGTCAGCGAATGGTTGCTTATATACTTGGGCCCCTGCCACCTGTCTAAGAAACACAGATGAAGTTCCTGCTTCCTGGCTTCAGCCTGGCCCAGCCACAACTGTTGCAGCCATTTGAGTAAGCCTGCAGATGCAAGATCTCTCTCTTTCTGCCTGTCTCTGCCAGTCTGTTACCCTGGCTGTCAAATAAATCTTTTTTTTTTTTAAGATTTACTCATTTACTTGAGAGTCAGAGTTACACAGAGAGAGAGGAGAGGCAGAGACAGAGAGAGAGGTCTTCCATCTGCTGCTTCACTCCCCAGATGGCTGCAATGGCCAGAGCTGTGTCGATCTGAAGCCAGGAGCCAGGAATTTTTTCCCCGTCTCCCACACGGGTACAGGGCTCAAGGACTTGAGCCATCTTCCACTGCTTTCCCGGGCCACAGCAGAGAGCTGGATTGGAAGTGGAACAGCCAGGACTCAAACTGGCGCCCATATGGTACTGCAGGTGGCGGCTTTACCTGCTATGTCACAGCGCCGGCCCCATAAACAAATCTTTTTTTTTTTTTTTTTTTGACGGGCAGAGTTAGACAGTGAGAGAGACAGAGAGAAAGGTCTTTCTTCCACCAAATGGCCGCTATGGCTGGCGCTGCACTGATCCGAAGCCAGGAGCCAGGTACTTCCTCTGGTCTCCCGTGCGGGTGCAGGGCTCAAGGACCTGGGCCATCCTCCACAGCAGAGAGCTGGACTGGAAGAGGAGCAACCGGGACAGAATCCGGCGCCCCAACTGAGACTAGAACCCAGAGTGCCAGCGCTGCAAGCGGAGGATTAGCCTAGTGAGCTGCGGCACCAGCCTCCCATAAATAAATCTTTAAAAACAAACAAATAGGGGCCAGCGCTGTGGCACCCTTGCCTGAAGGTTAACACCCTTGCCTGAAGAGCTGGCATCCTATATGGGTGCCGGTTCTAGTCCCGGCTCCTCCTCTTCGGATCCAGCTCTCTGCTGTGGCCTGGGATAGCAGCAGAAGATGGCCCATTTCCTTGGGTCCCTGCACCCGCGTGGGAGACCCTGAAGAAGCTCCTGGCTCCTGGCTTTGGATCGGCACAGCTCGGCTGTTGTGACCATCTGGGGAGTGAACCAGCGGGTAGAAGACCTCTCTCTCTCTCTCTTTCTCTCTCTGTAACTCTGCCTGTCAAATAAATAAAATAAATCTTTTAAAAAAAAATCTTTTTTTAAAAAGTCCATAGATGGAGGCTGGCACTGTGGCATAGTGGGTAAAGCCACTGCCTGCAGTGCTGGCATCCCATATGGGCACCAGCTGGAATCCTGGCTGTTCTACTTCCAATCCAGTTCTCTGCTATGCCCTGGGAAAGCGGTACAAGATGGCCCAAGTCCTTGGGCCCCTGTGCCTGCATGGGAGACCTGGCTCCTGGCTTTGGATTGGCGCAGCTCCAGCCATAGCAGCCTTCTGGGGAGTGGACCAGTGGATGGAAGACCTCTCTCTGTCTCTGCCTCTCCTCTCTGTGTGTAACTCTGACTTTCAAGTAAATGAATAAATCTTTAAAAAGTTTTAAAAAATAAAAAAATAAAAGTCCACAGAGGAAAATACAGTTGCAATAAAAAAAATAGAATTAAAGAGCTGCAGAGTATGAGTACCATCCTGTACTGGATAATCCTTGAGACCGAGTCTGAATGCTATCATTCTACAAAAGTGGACTCTGCTTGATTTTAGAAGTACTGGGAGTCTCATTTCTGCCTTAGTGAGTAATGTAGATGTCTTAAGAAAAGTGCCCACCAATTTTTAGTATTAAAAACCTGAGTCCACTCCTTTTGGAGAAATTGGATTGAAAGCAACCATGCTGAGCCAGTGGTATAGTGTCTGCTCCAGAGAGCAAGGAGCACTACTGGTTTGTAATATTGATAGGAAGCCTAAAATCAGGGAAGAAGGAAACTGCTTTGCTAAGTCTTCAACCTGTGTTCAAGTGCAATGGTTTCTAAACTTTGTTGTATATAAGAATTGCCCAGATACAGGGATGGGTACAGATGCTCTGAGTTCTGAAGCTCTTACAGTTTGGGTGGAGCCTTCTTTTCAAAACAGAATACAAATTTTAAATATATAAAATTAGATATAAGACCATAGAGAGGGCACATGGGCCCTGAACCTTAAGCTGCATTAATTTCACAGTAAATCCACCTTTACTTAGGGAACTTGTTAAGAATTAAAAAAATAAGACTTCCAACCCTAATCTAGACATTCTGATTCAGTGTGTCTGTGGCCCAAAAATATGTATTTTCAATTAGCATCTATTGTGTTATAGCTGGACGGATGTTAGGAAAACACTAGTACACATACCTATCTATTTCCTTTCTCACTTGTTTTCTTTTTTTTAAAAAAAAGATTTGTTTTATTTATTTGAAAGAGTTAGAAGTAGACAGAGAGAGAGAGAGAGAGAGATCTTCCATTCACTAGTTCACTCCCCAACAAATGGCCACAGTGACTGGAGCTGAGTTGATCTGAAGCCAGGAGCCAGGAGCTTCCAGGTCTCCCACAGAGGTGCGGGGACCCCAGCACTTGGGCCATCCTCACCTGCTTTCCCAAGTACATTAGCATGGAGCTGGACCAGAAGTAGAGCAGCTGGGGTTCAAACCAGCGCCCATATGGGATGCTGGCACTGCAGGCTGGGGCTTTAAGTCGCTGTGCCACACTGCTCGCCCCTCTCTCCGTTTTCCCTAAGCAAAGGACGTAGACATACAGAGAACACTTCCCTTCTGAGGCTGAGAGTTCTGCTGGGATTCTGCTGTTCCAGGTGGCAGGTCTCTCTTCTCTTGCCTTCTCCACAACTGCTGGCATAGGTACAGCCTTCTGGCTCTTCAGCGTTGTCTCTGAAGGCAGAAAATGACTGGCATTTAGTTTAAGTGGCTGGGAAACATTTGATGATCTTCCAAACCTCATGTTAGGCCATTTAAAAGAAATTGTCTTTTTTTAAGATTTATTTATTTATCTGAAAGTCAGAGTTACAGAGAGGCAGAGGCAGAGAGAGAGAGAGATCTTCTATCTGCCAGTTCGCTCCCCAGATGGCCGCAACAGCCGGAGCTGAGCCGATTCAAAGCCAGGATCCAGGAGCCTCCTCCAGGTCTCCCACGTGGGTGCAGGAGCCCAAGGGCTTGGACCATCTTCTGCTTTCCTACGACATAGCGGAGAACTGGATTGGAAGTGGAGCAGCCCAGTCTTGAACTGGCACCTATATGGGATGCCGGCACGGCAGGCGGCAGCTTTGCCCACTATACCACAGCACTGGCTCCAGGAAATTGTGTCTTTTAAAGAAAATATTGGGACTGTCCTTCCTTTGTAATATGTACAACTGAGGAAAACACCTCGCATTTACCAAGCCCCTCCTGTGTGCCAGGCACCTTTCTCAACTGACCTTTATAACCATGTGAAAGGCAAACAGGCTAAGTCACATTTTACAGATGAGGCAGCTGAGGTTTCTGAAGTTAGGAAAGCTTCCCCAAACCACTGAGCCAGTGAATGTAAGTGGCAGATCTGTCCACACTCCAAAACTGGTGCCTTTCTTCTTTATGCCAAGCTGCCTCAGGAACAGAAGGAAACCTTTTAAAACCCAAAACATCAGCCAACTTACAGGAACTGGGACTTCAAACATGACAAATATTATGATAATGACTCCACTGGGCAACAGGGTGACAGCAATCAAACATTTGACCACAGTACTCCATTTCTTCTTCCTCTTTAGATTTTCATCTGTGTGTAAAAGAGAGAGAGAGTGAAAGCGAGCAGTGGGAGAGGGAGAAAAGAGGATTTGAGATAAGGAAGAAGAGGCTGACTCTCTGACCTGAAGTTCTCCTGGTTCTCAAGACCAGTAGAGGCTCAGCCTGACTCGGAGGCGGAGGCTTCATGTCCAGCTCAGACCCAGAGTCAGGAGGTGGACATCATGGACTCTGCTCCAACCTCTTGAGTTCTTCTCAATGAGTTTTCTCTGGGATTTGGGATTTTCCATCATCCTAGAGGGTGGATTCTTGCTGTGTTCTTAGGGAAGAAAAGGCTTGTATGCACAAGGAGTTCTAAACATCTCTTATTATCAGCCCTCTTGGGTCTCTATCATTTTGCTCTGACACATCCTATGGGATTATAAAATCACCTTTCCAGGGTGAGGCACTGTGGTGTAGCGGGATAAGCCATGGCTTGCAGTGCCAGCATCCCATATGGATACCAGTTCGAGTGCTGGCTGTTCCACTTGGCATCTAACTCCCTGCTAATGTGCATGGGAAAACAACGGAGGATGGCCCAAGTCCTTGGGCCCCTGTACCCACACAGGAGACTTATAAGAAGCTCATTGGCTGGCGCCGCGGCTCACTTGGCTAATCCTCTGCCTGCGGTGTCGGCACCCCAGGTTCTAGTCCCGGTTGGGGCACCGGATTCTGTCCCGGTTGCTCCTCTTCCAGTCCAGCTCTCTGCTGTGGCCCGGGAAGGCAGTGGAGGATGGCCCAAGTGCTTGGGCCCCGCACCCGCATGGGAGACCAGGAGGAAGCACCTGGCACCTGGCTTCGGATCGGCGCAGCGCACCGGCCGTGGCGGCCATTATGGGGGTGAACCAACAGAAAAGGAAGACCTTTCTCTCTTTCTCTCTCTCTCACTGTCTAACTCTGCCTGTCAAATAATAATAATAATAATAATAATAATGAAAGAAGCTCATGGATTTGGCCTGGCACAGCCCTGGCCATTGTGGCCATTTGGAGAATGAACCAGCAGATGTAAGAGTAACCCAAATTGGAATCTTACAGGATTTGAGTCCTTGTCAATTTAGGGATTATTTCTAAAAACAGTGAAAGTGAAATGAAAGCGTGCACTTGGTCAGTGTCATCACTATCATAATTGCTTGTTTGTTTTTTTTTTGTTGTTTTTGTTTTTGTTTTTGACAGGCAGAGTGGACAGTGAGAGAGAGAGACAGAGAGAAAGGTCTTCCTTTGCCGTTGGTTCACCCTCCAATGGCCGCCGCGGTCGGCGCGCTGCGGCCAGCGCACCGCGCTGATCCGATGGCAGGAGCCAGGAGCCAGGTGCTTTTCATGGTTTCCCATGGGGTGCAGGGCACTCCCTGGCCACAGCAGAGAGCTGGCCTGGAAGAGGGGCAACCGGGACAGAATCCGGCGCCCTGACCGGGACTAGAACCCGGTGTGCCGGCGCCGCTAGGCGGAGGATTAGCCTAGTGAGCCGCGGCGCCGGCCAATTGCTTGGTTTTTTAATTATTGTCCATCTATACATTCATCTACTCGAATTATTTACCACATATATCTGATTTACTCTGTCCCGAAAGCTACAGGGTGAGCTAACTTATGTGGAGAATGGTCCTTGATGGGACCTTATAACTTCTCTTTTTTTCCCCTGGTAAGAATGGAAGGATTCTCTAATGGAAACTCTGACTGCTCAAACTTAAGGAAGATTCTAGGAAACCCAGTCTAATGTTGAGACTAAACATATTTTGGGATTTTGTTTTGTTTAGTTTTTCTGTTCTTGTTTACCCCAGCCTATGTGTACCTCGTTTCACAGGGCCAGGAAAATGACCAGTACTTGTAGTTTTCTCTTCATTCTCAGGAGCTGTGGAGGTGCTAGAGGTGGGGAAGCCCCCAGCACTGAGCAGACCTTACACTGGGATATCCCTGGTGGAAAAGCTAGAAACCAAGAGAGAAACGAGAGGATGGATACTTGTGGGAGAAAATGTTGTCCCACCTTCAATTTCACTTCTGGAGACTCTCACTCTACCCAGCTGGCGCCAAACTGATTATGGCTCTGTCGACCTGGCTGACCATAGGTCAAGGTCGTGGAGACAGAAGAGCATCAACAGGAAACAAGGATGGAGATAGCAGTTAGATCCCACCCAGGGCCCTGCACTGACACAGGAGCGGAGAGAAGGACTGATAAAACCTGTGAGTCACTTTTCTCCACCAGAAGAATATCTCGGAATATTTATGACACAGTCTTTTCTCTGCCAGATTCCATAAAATCTTCATCTTACCTTTCTGCTTCTCCATGTAGTCCACATCTTCTGACGATCACTGATTCTTAGATTTGCACTTTCAAATTCCTATTTCAAACTCAGGACATTTTCAGGAACTGTCTTCTGAGTATTTTCAGGAAATTGTCCTGTGCAGACTGATCTCACCCACAGTGTGGTAACTTCAGAGGGCATCTCTTTTATGACTTCGCAGGTTTGACCATTTACCTGATTTTTATTTCTCCCTATTTGTGGTCTAGTGCATCCCAATACTCAATAGGCAGTTTCAAACTTAGGAAATTCCATTTAAACGTTGGTTATGTGGAAGTCATCACTGTGGCTTCATAGACACACAGGGTGAATAATGGTCAGGGCCCCAAACTCAGAGACATCCACTTCATTTCTTTGCATGGCTCAAATAGTACAGGATGCTGGCTTGCTTAAGTTCCAGAGCTGTCACGAAGGAAGGAGGAAGAATTTCTTCCCTTTTCCGCCTTCCTTGGGAGGCTAGCTGAAAAAACATTTTGAATTAGATTGGGTTGATCTTCAGCATTTCTCTTCCCCGTTAGCCTCCCAGTTTTCCTTGTCCTTAGATGCTCCCAGTCCAGAACTCATAGCACTATGTTCACCTCACCCAGAGTGCTTCAGACTCCAAAATGACTTAGGGCCGCTATTTCCTGTCACCACTGCCACTCACTGTAGCAGGGCGTCCCGTGTTAAGAGGAAAGCAATCTGACTGAGTTCATTTGCATTAATGTTGAGCGGCTGAAAGCCCAATACTCCGGCAGAGGCTTTTGAGGTTTTTGTTTTTATTTTTCACACAAATTATTACTGGTGAAATTTTAGGAAATATAGTAATAAAATAGTAATAAAGTGAGTGAAACATCCAGGCCATATGAGGATATGTAATTTACCTGTGCCACATCCTGAGAACTTTATCACTTACTTTCCTTAATCCGGCTAGTTTTTTTTTTTTCCTTCCTCTATTCTGCTTGTGAGCCCCTTGTTTCTGTAAATGTGTGAAGTTTTATTTTACTTTCCAGTAGTGTAGCAGGAACACCTGGAGGGCTGCCTGCATGTAAAGGGGGACCTGCTCATGCCAGTCGACCGACCAGAAGCAACTTGATGAGGAGAGTGGGTGGAAGGGAAGAGGAAGGAGGGCAGCAGCAGTCTGGCAGCGGGGTGAGCAGGCACTCTCACGCCGCAGAGGTGGGAATGCAGAACAGACCCAGCTTGCAGCAGGGTGATTTAATGTCTTTCACACCTTTGATGCAGCAATCCTGCTTCTTGGAATGTATCTTACTGACAAACTTCAGATATATAAGAAGAATATATAAGCGTCAGGTCATGGCTTGCAGCATTGTTTATGTTTACTTTAAAAAAATTTTTTTTATTTATTTGAAAGAGTTGCAGAGAAGGAGAGGCAGAGGCAGAGACAGTTAGAGAGAGAGAGAGAGAGAGAGAGAGAGAGAGAGACCTTCCATGACCTTCCATCTGCTGGCTCCTCAAATGACCATAAGGGCTGGAGTGGGGCCAGGCTGAAGCCAGGAGCCACGGGCCCAAGCACATGGGATGTCTTTCACTCCTCCGCCCAGGCACATCAGCAGGGAGCTGGATTAGAAATGGAACAGTCAGGTTTTGAACTGGCATGCCTATGGGATGCCAGCGCTGCAGATGGCAGCTTAACCCACTATACCACAATGCTGGCCCCTGTTTATATTTTCAAAAGAGTGGAAACAACCAAAATGTCCATCAATGGAGAACTAGTAACATAAATTATAGTACTGCTGTACCACAGGATAATGTCCTGCAGTTAAGAAGGAGGCAACTGTGTGTGTGTATATAAATATTTTATATACATATATATATATAAGATATCCATATGGAACAACCTTTAGATATATTGTTACATACAAAACATGTGTATACTACCATTTATGTTTTTAAAATATGTACAGCCATACATGCTTAGAGTATTTCAGGTAGAAAGGACAGTAAGGTGGTAATGATGATTGCCTCAGGGATAGAAGACAGGAATGAGAGAGAGGAGTAGGAAGGAGACTCATTTTTTACTGTAAGTGCATGATGTTTGCATATTTTATTGTGTACATTCAGACTAAACATTTTAAAAATTGTCAAAAAAGACCCTTCAGAAATGGAGATCATATGAAAATGACAGGATATCAAGTAGAAAAGGGATTGAGGGACTAAAAGATTCTCAGAGAGGACATTATCTAGTAGTAAGCTCCCACTGACTTAAAGATGCCAACTGAAAGTTAGCGCCTAGGCCCACCTGCAGTGCTGGCATCCCATATGGGCACCAGTTCAAGTTCCAGCTACTCCACTTCTGGATCCAGCTCCCTGCTATTGCACTTGGGAAGGCAATGGACAATGGCTCAAGTGTTGGGGCTCCTGCACCCACATGGGAGACCCAGTAGCTCCTGGTTCCTGGCTTTGGACTGGCCCAGCCCTTGTCTTTGCGGCCAACTGGGGAGTGAACCAGCAGATGGCAGAATTCTCTCTCTCTCTGCCTCTTCCTCTCTGCCTTTGAAATAGATCAATAAAGTTTAAAAAAAAAAAAAAGTTAGTGCCTACTTCCATCTCCTTTTCCAGTCTCCCGTTTGCCTGTTAGAAGGGAGCCAATCTGAGGGGCCAGTGCCATGGCTCATTTGGTTAATCCTCTGCCTGCAGCGCCCGCATCCCATATGGGCGCCGGTCCTAGTCCCGGTTGCTCCTCTTCCAGTCCAGCTCTCTGCTGTGGCCCTGGAGGGCAGTGGAGGATGGCCCAAGTGCTTGGGCCCTGCACCCACTTGGGAGACCAGGAGGAAGCACCTGGCTCCTGGCTTCGGATCGGCACAGCACCGGCCGTAGCAGCCATTTGGGGGGTGAACCAACGGAAGGAAGACCTTTCTCTCTGTCTCTCTCTCACTGTCTGTAACTCTACCTGTTGAACAAATAAATAAAATCTTAAAAAAAAAAAAAAAAAAAAGAAGAAGGGAACCAGTCTGAAACTTGGATGTGGGGGTGAGGTGAAAGCTTGGGTAGGCAGAGCTCTTTCTGCAGGGAGCAGCAGTGCCCCTCAGATTCCCCAGGGTGTACTTGACCTTTGACCTTCTCTCTGAATGTACAAAATTGACATTCACTTTGCTCCCAGAACCAAGGCACTTCAGGGTAGCCCTAGCCCGATTTTACATGAGTGTAGCCCTTTGGGCTTCTCTGTGAGATTCTGGAAGAAGAGCCTGACAGAAAAAGGAAACTGGATTTTAATTTGAATGGTCCTCAGCTAACCCACCTCCACTCATGGCTCCTGTTAAACTCTGTTAGTTCACTTCTTCCTCCTTGTGTGTATATGGCACTAAAAACACAAGCACTGCTATTCTGACTCCCTGCTGTGAGTCCCGCGAAGATGGGTACTTACAGTAAACTCAGTACCAAGAAATGGTCGGACTGTTTTCATGAATGTGGAGAGGGTTAGGTGCTGCCCGCTTCCCTTTCTTCACCCCCATCTGTTTGGTCTATTAGAGGCATGCCTCGAGGAATAAGAGTTAAATTAAAAATTGGCTTCCAGAAAGCCTCTACAGGGGGGAGAATGCAAATCTTTAAAATGGTATATTTGAGGTTTGGGCTAGGGAGGCAGGAGACAAGGTACCTTTTTTCTTTTTTCTTTTTTTTTTAAAGATTTATTTATTTATTTGAAAGTCAGCATTATAAGGAAAGAGAAAGAGAGGCAGAGAGAGAGAGTGAGAGGTCTTCCATCTGCTGGTTCACTCCCTAGTTGGCCACAATGGCTGGAACTGTGCCAAGCTGAAGCCAGGAGCCAAGAGCTTCTTCTGGGTCTCCCACATGGGTGCAGAGGCTCAAGGACTTGGGCCATCTTCTACTGCTTCCGCAGGCCATAGCAGAGAGCTGGATTGGAATTGGAGCGGCCATGACTTGAACCAGCACCTATATGGGATGCAAGCACTGCAGGCGGTGGCTTTACCTGCTACACCACAGCACTGGCCCCATTTTTTTTTTCTTTAATTAATTAATTTATTTGAAAAGCAGAGTTACAGAGAAAGAGGAAAGAGAGAGAGAGATCTATCCACTGATTCCCCAAATGGCCATGATGGCTGGGCTGGGCCAGGCTGAAGCCAGGAGCCTGGAACTCCATCCCTGGTTGGGCCATCATCCACTGCCTCCCAGGCATATTAGTAGGAAGCTGGATTGGAAGCAGGGAGTACTTGGGACTCCAGTTGGTGCTCTGGCATGGGATGCCGGTATCCCAAGTGGCAGGGTAACCCTTTGTGCCACAACACCTGACCCTGAAAGTTTATTAAATGTAATCTTGGACAAGGTATTTCTATAGATTTTCACAGAACTGTAGGTCATAGCTATTTATGCTTTTTAGTACATGACTCACAGGATGTGGGATTTTTTCTATTTATTTTATTTATTTGAAAGAGTGACAGAGAGAGGTAGAGACAGAGAGAGTGGTCTACCATCCACTGGTTCACTCCCCAGATGGCCACAATGGCTGGAGCTGCGCTGATCCGAAGCCAGGAGCTTCTTCCAGGTCTCTCACGTGGGTGTAGGGACCCAAGGACCTGGGCCATCTTCCACTGCCTTTCCAGGCCACAGCAGAGAGCTGGATTAGAAGAGGAGCCATCAGGACTCAAACTGGTGCCCATATGGAATGCTGATGCTCCAGGCCAGGGCTTTAACCCGCTGTGCCACAGCGCTGGCCCCAAGAGATTTTTCTTAATTTGTTACTGCTATACCTTATGCTATCTGTCTTTAGATCTGATTAGCTAATTTTAGATGTTAAATGTTCAGGAAACTCTGAAAACCCGTGTTTAAGATAAAACAATTACCAAAGGTGAGCAGGCGGTGCCATCCCATCCCGTATTACCCTTCCCCTCAGGTCTCCCTACCCACGATTGTCCCCATCTAGCTGTACAAAGGCAGTATCTTATGAGAGATCATGACTATGGGAGTGCTAGGTGAGGATAGCGTCTCAAGTAAAGAAAGCCATCTAATAGTGAAGGGAATTTCAATGTCAGTTACGTGAACAAGGCAGAAGAATGGTGTCATATTCCCTAAAGACATCTCCTCATGAAACGGCCAGCTGTCTTTCTGGGTTGCTTAAGTCAGGAGGATTCATGGGCTGCCATCTGTGAAGTATTGCTTGCTGAATCTCAGCGACAGCTCTGTCTGATAGAAGGGACCCCAAACACTTTCCAAGCTTTTCTTTTGATTTTCCAGGATATTAGGCTAGAGAAGCATTTACCTATCTTGTTGGCATCCTAGGATATAGTCATTAGGCTGAAGACCAAGATGGTATCGCTGTGAGCTGGAGCACACAGGCTTCAGCATTCGTTGGATAGCAGGCGGGACCCCCTTATAACCTTGGCTCTGGTTGCTTCTGCTGCCCAAGTATGATCCTGGAGTGTCTGGTTCCATCCAGGTTATTTTGCCTTATTTCCTGAAGATGCCAGAATAGACTTGCTGGAGAAAAGGCCAAGTGTATGTGTTAATGACTCAGGTCTTTCCCTGACTTCACTGTTGACGAAAGCTGTAATTATCTAGAGATTTTCCTACCATAACATCTGGTGACAGGTTTTACAAATACTCACACATAGACGTGTAGACATTCGCATGCACGTTTACTTGCACAGGCAAATCGGTTTACACAGACATAAAAAGGTGTGTAGATTCCCATTAATGAATGTAATTTCTAGAATAGAGCTAGAAAGTAGGCCTGAGTGGGTTACACTTCGGAGAGCACTGGACTAGAACTGGTAGAATTGGGTTCTAGTACAGGCCTGTCACGAGCTGTATCACTGTGGGGAAATTACTTGACTTCTGAGGGTATCAGAAATAGATGTAAACTGAGAGTCCCAACAAAATTATCTCTAGAATTCATCCAAAGTTGTACACGTAAGCTCATGAGCACAAACATACCTATTGAATTTTGCGTGTTTTTGCACTGCTGAATAGTGAAATGAGGACGGGTTGACAATACCCCTAAGACTTTGGGCTCTGAGGCTGTGAGGAAGAGCTAAGCACAGAAGGAGAGTTGCCAGCTGGAGTTCTGAAATGTTTTCCTAGACAGAAAATTGTTGTTGAAGGTTTTACCAAAATTGTATCTTTCAGGGAAGAGTGCATCTAGTTTTTTCTTTTTTCTTTTTTTTAAGATTTATTTTATGGGCCAGTGCCGCAGCTCACTTGGCTAATTCTCCACCTGCGGCACCGGCACCCCAGGTTCTAGTCCCGGTTGGGGCGCTGGATTCTGTCCCGGTTGCTCCTCTTCCAGTCCAGCTCTCTGCTGTGGCCCGGGAAGGCAGTGGAGGATGGCCCAAGTGCTTGGGCCCTGCACCCGCATGGGAGACCAGGATAAGTACCTGGCTCCTGGCTTCAGATCGGCGCCGTGCGCAGTGCGCCAGCTGCAGCATGCCAGCCGTGGTGGCCATTTAGGGGGTGAACCAACGGAAAAGGAAGACCTTTCTCTCTGTCTCTCTCTCTCTCACTGTCTAACTCTGCCTGTCAAAAAAAAAAAAAAAAAGATTTATGTTATGTATTTGAAAGGCAGAGTTACAGAGAGAGGAAGAGACAGAGAAGAGTCTTCCATCCACTGGTTCACTCCCCTAATTGCCCTAAATTGGGCTGGGCCAGGCCGAAGCCAGGAGCCAGGAGCTTCTTCTGGGTCTCCCAAGTGGGTGCAGGGGCCCAAGCACTTGGACCATCCTCTGCTGCTTTCCCAGGCACATTAGCAGGGAGCTGGGTTGGAGGTGGAGCAGCCGGGACTTGAACCAGTGCCCATATGGGATACTGGTGCTGCCAGCTGGGTTTTTAACCTGCTGCACCACAGTACCAGCTCCATGTCCAGTTTTATACCCTATAGTCTTTGTGTTGGCCTAGGTAGGTGGATCATAAAGAAGAAACGAAGATCTACTCAGATCTTTGCCTAAGTCTAGAGCCTCTTGCAGTCTTTGTACCTACCTTAAATGCATTCCATTGGGTTTAGCTGTGCACAAGAAATTTCTGGAGTCTGAAACAAATTGATAATAATATAAAGAGAACTTAGCTCAAGGGACTTTCCTTAAGGGACCATGTGAGATTTGTGTCAAATTACAATTTAAATGCCACTTTGTTTCCTGATCCTTGAAATCAGATTGAAATCTGCTAAATCAAGCATCAAGGGAAGTCTTGGTAGGGAAGCATACTGGGAAGAGATGTAGCTAAAGGACAACGTGTTGCCTGAAATGGGGAAGAGAGGAAGCACTGCGCATGCAGCTCCACGCCTTTCATTCTTTCATTCAACAAATATTCATTGAGGGCCTGCCATGTACCAGGCACTGTTCCAGCAGTGAGCAAGACAAAGAACAGAGGACAAAATCTATGTCCTCATGCAACATTGGGAAGCAGGCAGTAAGCATGGTTGAAGATTAAGTGGGGGCCGGCACTGTGTTGCAGCGGGTTAAAGCCCCGGCTCGGGGCGCCGGCATTCCATATTGGTGCCAGTCCTTAGTCCCGGTTGCTCCTCTTCTGATCCAGCTCTCTGCTATGGCTTGGGAAAGCAGTAGAAGATGGCCCAAACTTTTGGGCCCCTGCACACACGTGGGAGACCCAGAAGAAGCTCCTGGTTCCTGACGTCAGATCAGCCCAACTCCAGCCTTTGCAGCCATTTGGAGAGTGAACCAGCAGAAGAAAGACCTCTCTCTCTCTCTCTTTATCTCAACCTCTCTCTGTAATTGTCTTTCAAATAAATAAAAGCAAATCTTAAAAAAAAAAAAAAGAAAAGAAAAAAATTGGTGCAGAACGGCCAATAATAAACAGTATGCAAATCCATAAAGGTACCTAAAGCTTGTAATAGTTACTAGGAAGAAAGTAACAGGCCAAGGAAGCAAAGGGTTATAGGCCATGGCTACTTTCATTAGGGCAGTAGGAGGAGAACTTCCCTGAAGAAATAGCCTCTAAGTTAAGAAAACCAGGAGTGTGGAAGTCATAGGAATTCAAGGAAAGAGTGGCTGGTTGATCACATGCTGAGAGGTTGTACATAATGAGTGAAGATATCCACATCCACTGGTCTTGGCAGTTATGTATCATCAGTTCCCGGGGGGGGGGGGGGAGTAGGAGTGGGTTGAAAGGGAATTGGGAGTCAAAAAGTGTACATAACATTTTCCAGAGGTTTTGCTGCAAGCGTGGAAAAATGAGACCAGTGACTAGGGAACATAAGTGTCTCTGGACTTAATTGGTCCAGAGCCAATATTTACTGGTCCTGTTCCTTTCTCCCCACTGTGGTTGCTTGATTGGTTAGCGCAACCTAAAGCCTCCCCTGTGCTTTGTGATTTTTGTTTACTGTTTCCTTATCGTGACTACACGAATCTCTCATACCTGCACCACCAGACACTTTTCCCCAGTGTTCTGTTGGAGATTTTCCGTAGTTGGTTTTCAGATGCCATGTAACTGTGCTGCCCCCTGACAGTGGGGGTAAGAATGCATCTGGAATCTAGGTATTCTCTTCCTTGGCCACGAGGTGGCAGAAGAGCTCACTTTGCTCAGACGAGACTTCGAGCTGGGCCCAAAATCAAGCGGAAGAGTTTTCTTTTACCAGCTCTCAGACCCTCACCTTTTCTTTGGTGACACAGAGGCCCAAAAGGCAGCCTGCATGTTGGAGCCGTAGTGTGGGGTACAAAGAAGCAGGGGAGCCGCCGTGAAGGAGTCAGAATATCTAGTGGTGCAGAGAGAAACCCCAGAGTGTTTCTTTACTATTAGGCTGAATTTCTAAGTGAAATGGAGGAAATGGAAATGGAGGAAAGGACCTCTCCTCTTGTCTCCTTTTCTCCACCAAAAAAACACCCCTATCAAATTTAGGAGGGAAAAACCTATTACGTAAGTGAGTTTTATGATGTCTACAGGCTAGAGATTTGACCTCTGGAAGAGATAGAAACCTAGGCTGGAATGGATGAATCAGGGTGCGTCCGCAGGAGGAGCACGTGGTAGGAAGCCAAGAGGCCTGCCTACTAGGCTCAGACTGGGCTCAAGAGCTGACTGAGTCGCTTTGACCGAGTCCCTTACCTCCTCTGGGCCTCTGTTTCAGTTTCTCTAATGAGTGGCTGGACAGGATACTTTCCGAGGACTCTTCCAGCCCACAAATTGCTATCATACCTCCACACAGTGCTGTTCTTTCTTTGAAGGGTAGATGTTTTTTGTTCTTTAGTTTTGTTTTATTTACAAATTTTTATTGTGGAGTATATATACAGAAGAGTATAATATACATATTTATAATATATATATATATATATTTGAAAGTCATGGTGACAGAGGGAGAGAGAGAAAAAGAGATCTTCTGTCTGCTGGTTTACTCCCCAAATGGTAGCAACAACCAGGCCAAAGGAAGGAGCCTGGAACTCCATCTAGGTCCTCCCCAAGGATCCAAGCACTTGGGCCATCATCCACTGCTTTCCCAGGTGCATTAGCAGGAAGCTGCATCAGAAACAGAGTAGCTGAAACTCAAACCAATACTCCAGTATGGGAAAGTGTTGTCACAAGTGGCAGCTTAACCTGCTGCGTCACAATGCAAGCTCCTGTATATGTTTAAATAGTAACAGTGGTGTGATAAGGGGAATGTTAGGTAAGTGCATAACCCCAAATTAAGGAACCGAACACTACCAGTACCTTAACAGATTTTTGCATGTCCATCTCTCTGATCATACCCATTTTGTCCTCCAATCTTTATTTTTCCCATGCTTTGTAAAATAGTGAACTATTGATCATGTATTGCCAAAAATACTTTTCTTAATCTTACCTGTTTTTGAACAACTCTGGGTTTTAAAGTAGCCCTTTTTTAAATTGTATAATACATCTACATTTATATATATTGTATAATAATAATAGATTTTTGTAACCAGCACCCAGAAATGCCCCTCCTCTCTCTTCCAGCTGCTGCTCATCGTCAGGATTAACTGCTCTCCAGGTTCTTCCCACCACAAATGAGTTGTTGCCTATTTTTTGTAGGAGGAAACATACATTGTGTGCTCTTTTGTGTCTGGCTTTTTTGGTGCTCAATAGTATTTTTATAAAACTCAGCCGTTATGTTTCACGTAGCAATCATTTGTTCTTTCCCATTGCTTTATAATGCCCACTCTACAGATGTACCACAATTTCTTTACCCATTCTACAACTGAGAGATACTTGTATTATCTTCAGATTTTGACCGTAATGAACAATTTTCCTGGTGCACAACTGAAGTTTTCTTCAAGGTATAAGTAAAAGTTGGTGATAGGCTATTTAGGGTATGTTCAGCTGTGCTAATTCATGCCAACCTGTTTTCTAAGGGGTTGTCCCCATTTAAACTCCCACTTGTAGTATATGAAAGTTCCTATTGCTCCATATCCTTGCCAAAGGGATTAAAGAGCCTTTCTCTCACAGTGCCAACCGTTTGGCTGGTCCTCAGAGGCTCAGACCACACTCATTTGCTCCTCCAAGTAAGGGTAAAAGATTCAAATTATCCTTTTGTCCCTGATCACCACTGCCCTGAAAATACTGGAGGTGGAGGGATGGAGTGGATTTATTATCCCAGTAATTCCCAAGTCATCTGAGTATCTACTGGGCATTTTGCCCTTGTATTCGATAATAGCAGGAAATGGGGATAAGGGACATAGAGAAAAAGGGGAATGTGTACTTACTGTATTCTAAATGCCGTGCTAAAAGCTTTACATTGTGGTTATATAATTTAATCCAAAATAACACCTTACAAAGTGGTTTTAGTGTATTTTATTAAAACTTTTTATTTTCTTATTTTCTTTTCATTTGAAATGCAGAGAGAGACAGAGAGAAGGAGAGAGAGAGGAAAGAGAAAGAGACAGAGAGAGAGACAGAGACGGACACAGAGATCTTCTGTTTGCTGGTTCACTCTCAACAGCCAAGGCTGGCTCAGGCCTTCTCCAGGAGCCCAGAGCTCAATCTGGGTCACTCACCAGGGTGTCAGGGACCCAAGTACTTGAGCATCATCTGCTGCTTCCAGGGGTGTACATTAGCAGGGAGCTGGAATTGAAAATGGAGCTGGGACTTGAACCTGGACTCTGATGGGGGATGTAGGCATCCCAAGCAGCATCTTAACCACTGCATCAAACACCTGTTCCAAAAGAAAGTTTTTAAAAATATTTATTCATTTATTTATTTATTTGAGAGGCAAAGTTATAGGCAGAGGCAGAGGCAGAGACAGAGAGAAAGAGAGAGAGAGGTCTTCCATCTGCTGGTTCACTCTCCATATGGCCGCAGTAGCCAGAGCTGGACATGTCCGAAGCCAGGAGCCAGGAGCTTTTTCCAGGTCTCCTATGTGGGTGCAGGGGCCCAAGCACTTGGGCCATCTTCTGCTGCTTTCCAAAAGGTCGGTTTACAGACAAGAAAACTGAGGCTCAGAAGCAAGGTCACTTGCTCAAGGACACAGAACTAATTAATGACAGTCAGGACTTGAAGCCAGGTCTATCTGATTTAAGAGCCCAGGCTCTGACAATACAGAGCACAGAGGAGACAGAGTAGGGTAGGTTGTAAAACTGAGCAACATGCGTGCTGGAATCCAAGACTGCAAGCCTTAAACAGATCATCTTGTCCATTTTCCTGCCTTTAAAGAAAAGGGTCCTTTAAACTTTCTCCAGGTATTTAGTACTTGTATAGGCCTTAGAAAGGGATTATATACACACACACACACACACACACACACACAAACATATACCTATAAAATCAGTCATGGTGGAAGAAACTACGATTTGGTGACTGCCCAAAGTGTAGCTGGGGATTGGAAGTGTTGGAGATTGGATAATCCAGAGGGAGGCACAGCTGAAATGCCAGATGAAAACCCTGTGTCCATGTGCAAAGATCGTGAGAAGTCTCCAGTATAAACACTGTCCTTCACTGTGCAATTCTACCTTTCGTCATCAGGACCAGATTTATGAAGTGGCCTCCCTGAGGACATTCTCTGACCTTATGGTGTGAAGTTCCCTCAGGCTCTTAATTCTGGGCAAACCAGGATGGCTGACCAGAGTGAAGGAACATTGCGTACAGATAAGATATCTGTGTCTTTTTTTTTTTTTTTTTTTTAATTTTATCTTCCAGCGCTGGGCAGTGGGTGAATTCTGCCCACTTGTCAAGGGGCTAAGTATCCTACTGGAGGCCTTGCCTTCCTAGTAGGCAATCTAAAGACGTACGCAGACTTCAGGAGCAGGGCAGCATCTCAAATACAGAGCTAATAATCTGTATTCCAGGTAATGAAGCACCTGGGGGCAGGCGTTGTGGCGCAGCAGGGCAAGCTGCTCGTTAAGTCCTGGCTGCTGCCAATCCATCTCTCGGCTAATGTACCTGGGAAGGCAACGGAAGATACTTCAGGTGCTTGGACCTCTGCCATCCATGTGGGAGACCCAGGTGGCGTTCCTGGCTCCTGACTTTGGCTTGGCCCAGCCCTGATGTTGTCGTCATTTGAGGACTGAACCAGTGGATGGAGGATCTCTCTCCCTTTCTCTCTCTCTCTCTCTCTCTCTCTCTGCAACCACCTTTCAAAAATAAATAAATAAATAAATCTTTTTAAAAATGAAGCATTTAAAAAAAAAGTTGTCAAGCATTTACTAGTATCTATACCTAGCCCTACTCTGAGAGCTATAAAAGAGGGAACTATAAAAAGACTTTGCCTGCAAAATTATTAGAAGTTTATCTGAAGAGCTAAAACCAATATGCACATAAAAACTATAGCCCAAGTAACTGCTGAACCTTGTGCTAGTGACCAGGTTGTAACACGAACTCAGGAGGAGGGAGAGAAATCTGTGGAAGCTAGAGATGTTAGAGGCATCTTGGAAATGACGAAGTTGTGACTTAAGTACTAGAAAGATTCAGAAAAACAGGAAGGACAAGTTTGCCTGCATAAGCAAAGGTATCAGGACAAGAATGAACATGGCTAGTGCTAGAAGCCAGATCCGAGGGTAAGTACTGGAGGTCAGTGAGAAGTAGCATCCTATTGTTTCCCCTACCTTGTCCTAAAGATGGATCGCTGATCTTGCTACTTAAGGACATTGAGGCCATGATCAAACAGCCACCAGGACAGGGGCTTTGCGATTCAATTTTCTGTTAACATTGTTTTCTTTCCTTCCTTAGTTGAACTCAGGCCTGACCTGATAACTTTCCTGTCCTGGAAGCACAGGTGTAGGAGACACTGTTGTTTAACAGAGACTCTGGCAGCAAGGAAGGGAATAATGACAAATCTAAAACTAGTGTTTTCAGACTTCAGGAAGAATAAGTACCAGCGTTGCTGCTTAAAAAGTTATGCATTAAAGCCGAGAATCTGCATTTTTAACTTTTTTTTCTTTTATGTTTTGATTTGAAAGGCAGAGACAGAGTGCAAGCTCCTACCCACTGGTTCATTCCCCTACCACCTTCGGTGGCTCCAGGCCAGAGGCTGAAGCTGGGGGCTGGGAGCTCAATCCCCATCTCCCACGTGGATGGCAGGGATCCAGTCACTTGAGCTGTCTGTCACCACTGCACCCCAGAGTCTGTGTTAGCAGGAAGAGTCATGAGCAGAGCCGGGACTCAAACCCAGGAACTCTGATATGGAACTCATGTGTCCCAACTAGTATCTGGATTTTTTTATAAAGATTTATTCATTTATTTGAAAGGCAGAGTTAGAGAAAGAGGCGGGGAGGAAGAGACAGAGAAGTCCTCCATCTACTGTTTCACTCCCCAGGTGGCCACAATGGCCCGGGCTGGGCCAGGTCAAAGGTAGGAACTACTGCTGTCAACTGCTAAGCCAAATGCCTGCCCCAGAATCTGCATTTTAATAAATACCTCAGAATTTCAGTTTCAGGTGTTGGTGGAACATATTTTGAAAAACGTAAGGCCGGCATCGCGGCTCACTAGGCTAATCCTCCGCCTGTGGTGCCAGTACTCCAGGTTCTAGTCCTGGTTAGGGCGCCGGATTCTGTCCCGGTTGCTCCTCTTCCAGTCCAGCTCTCTGTTGTGGCCCAGGAAGGCAGTGGAAGATGGCTCAAGTCCTTGGGCCCTGCACCTGCATGGGAGACCAGGAGAAGCATCTGGCTCCTGGCTTCAGATCGGCGCAGCACACCAGTCATAGCAGCCATTTAGGGGGTGAACCAATGGAAGGAAGACCTTTCTCTCTGT